ACAAAGATTTAGCCTACATGACTTGATTATAAGATTTATAGCCTCACATCTTGCATGATCAAAACAAAGATACCATCCATACATATCACATAAAGGACTCCACATTTCCATTTATTACAAAATGATTACACACAAATAAATGTTTCCTCTTCAACCATGGGAAATAAATTATATTATTCTTAAGAAAAAGCCAAGAAGGGGAAAAAAAAAATTATGGTAATTGATAGGGCACTGATCATAAGTAATTAGACGAATGACTTAACATTTTGGAGGTGAAAAGCAACTGCTTCACCAACAGTCAAGAACAGACAATCAGCCCTTTCATATTCTTTTGCATTGTCTGCACGCTGTAATTTTTCAATCACCTCGCCAAGTGGATTCACAAGCACAAGCTGTCCATGTTTCAAATGCACCATAAAAGCTTTACTTTGACAGGAAAAGCTAATTAAATAAACAATCACCAAAAGAGAAGTAATCCTCATATTATATCAAGAGAGATCGAAGCAAAAATTTAATAAGCTGGGATTATTTGCTGAACTCAAAATTTTTTGGATAAGAGATTATTGAAATCTCTTTTTGCTATGTAATGTGAGTTTTACTTACCTCCAGATGCTTCTTTTCCATCGTCATCCTCAAATCTTTGAAAAATGCAACTCCATTCGTATCGATTGCACTCACAGCTGAAAAAGGGGTGTTATTTATTAGTAGTAAAGCTTAAAATTCTGTTTCTTGGAAATGAAAGTACCATGTCAAGATTCAAATACTTCTTTTTATTTTTCCTCTGATCAATTTTGCTTTGCATTTACTCACCAGACAAATCAAGAACCACAAACTTCAGTTCTGACTTCTTTTTACCACTCTCATCCTCCGGTGACGATTCGTATTCTTCTATCCATCTTGTAATCCTAACAAAAGAAAAAAAAAAAACAAATCTATAACACGAAACACATAATAATGTCTATGATCGACCGTAAGTAAGAACCAAAAAAGGAAAAATCCAAACCTCTCTTTAAGATATGTGGTATTAGCAAAGTTAATTGGAGCTTCAATGCTGAGGATCAAAAACCCTGGCACATTAACAGTTTCTTTGTACTGATCCAGATTTCGATAAATGTCGGTGCCCGGTATATTCCCTAATATCGCGGTTTTCGGTCTCGTGATCTGAAGCAAAATCTTGAATATAGATATTCCCACCTAAATATCACAATCACTAGCTATCACCACAAATTACTTACCAAGATGATTTTGTAAACACTTAAAGACAAACTAAAAAAGACAAAGGGAACATTAACATATATACCGCGATGGCTAGGCCTTCCTGTACAGAGATAAAGAGAACCCCGAAAAAGGCAGAGAGCATCACAAGAAAATCAAATTTGTCTACTTTCCAAATTTGGCAGGCGGCTGGGACGTCTATAAGGCCGACGACAGCTGTCACAATGATGGCCCCTAAGACCACGTTTGGCGTGTACTGAAAAAGAGGCATTAGAAAAAGGAGGGTCACCATCACAGTCACTGCCATTATTATGTTGGAGAGTGCTGTTTTGCAGCCTGCATTGTGGTTCACGGCCGACCGTGAAAATGCGCCTGCATTTATTCATTCCTTTTACTTCAAGACTTCGAATTACCAATCATAGACTCATATATAATGGTATTTTTTCTTTTTGTTTTTTTAAAATGTGTTAGAAATATGTACCGGTTGTTACATAGCAAGAGGTAGTTGATCCGACTATGTTCATTAGCCCGATTGCAATCATCTCTTTGTTTCCATCCACTTGGTAGTTCTTTAGTGCCGCAAAAGTCCTTCCGACCGCAATTCCTTCCTGTTTTCCAAAATCTATCTTTCGTAAAAATGCAAGCATAATGGATTTTCGCAAAAGAGTTATCTAACATAACCGAAAAGTATTTGTGAAATAAGCAGAAGCTTAAGTCAGTAGTATTTGCACATAAAAGCTAAAACTTCACCAATAAGCGAAAACTACCATCATTTTCGGTTAAACTTAAACAAAAGTAGTCAAAATGTAGCTATTACTTACCGTGAGTGAAATGATGCCGGTCACAAGCCCGGTTCTGATTACGAGTCCCAAATAGTTACCATGAAAATGCAGCATGTTCCATGAAGAAGGATTTAACCCTTCTTGTAATTTCCCAATCTAAGTATAATTTGACATGGGAACATCACATTTATCACCACAAGAAAGAGTTGAAGGGAAATTCTAACACGATTAATTTAAAAGCGCACGTATGAGAAAACACTCACTACACTAATTCCATGGTTTTGAGCTTTGAATGCGAAAACAAGCAATGTTGAGATGATGACAGAGAGTAGAGGGGCTCCGGCCGACACCCAGAATAGCTTTGGCTTCCTCATGCTCTGTATAATTACATCACAAATAGTTTCAGTCTTGGTACATTTCATGTGTGTACCATTTTGTTTTTTTTATACAGTTCTGAAAAACTTATATAGCTATCAACTGTGTATTTTGGTTAATAAAGAAGCAAACCAGAGTAGTAAGTAGTAATTTAGTTGCATGTAAAGGATTGATACTGAGCAAGAATTGTTCATATTGTTATCAGTTCAAAGTGTAAACTGTGGCAAGTTTATTGCTCTATTTACAAATGTAATGGTTAGGCAATCATGATAATAAATTAACAGAATTTTCTCCTTATTATTACATAAATTAACAGGCCATTTAACGGAATTTCCCTTGATAAAACAGGATAAAAAGATATCTCCAAGTTACTGTTTTAGGATTTTCGTCATTTCTTTTAGTGGCATAATGATAGAACACATAAAAAATTACGAAAATGCAAAAATAAGTTAACGAAAAAAAAAAAGGAAAAAGAAATTAAATAAGCGATCTAATGAATTCTTGTTTTGATTGTTCACGGGTTTACAAGAGTTGCAAATCTGGAGGTGTGTATTTCAATAGGTTTTTATTTTTTTTATAAAAGAGTTATAAAATCGTTATCAATGATCTAATCATACATTTTCTTGTAGGATTTTGTCAATTTTGTAAAAAGCAGATAAGATTAGAGTGACCCAATGCAAGTGCAACACATAATTAGTAGATAACGTTTGTCGAATATGTTATGATTTTAGATTATTTTAATTCAATTGCCATAAAAAGAATTTTTTTATTATTTTTTTTTTCTAGAAAACAATTTTTCTTACCAAAGAGTATTAATTAAATGTGAATTTTCTCCCAGTCATAAGAAATGACAAGTCATTATCTCACAATGACCAAATATTCACTATATACCCAATATATTATCAGCAATAAATTATTATTTGCTATCTTTATTTCATAGCCATTTAAATTTTTACATAAATAACAAAAACCGTAGCAGCGATTATTTTATTGATTGAGTTACATGTAAAATATTAAAATCGTGCTATAAGAAAAATTTATATGTTAACTTATAAACATAATTCGAATATTAATATATATGGTATATATAGTAGACGTACTATATGTCTTGTCAGAAGAAGGAAGAACAGGAAGCAAAAGCCCATCAGTATAGTTTGCCACGACCACTGCATCAAATTATAAACACAAAAAAGAATGTGAAACATAAATGTGTAATACGACGAAATTAACAAATAATTCAGACCAAATTACGCGTCAACATGTGCTTAATTGTCTTCGTACGCTTTATATTTGTTTTGTTTCATTTGTATTCTTGGTAATAAGCCAAAAAAGTTTGCTTTTGTGGGAGGGACAAATAACAATAGGATCCTGAATTACACTTGAGAATACCATACAAATTTTTTAAACTTTTGTAGGGACAAATAAGAATATGAATATTTTTTCCCCAAATTAAAAAGGGTAAAATTCTATTTGTTGTACCATATATAGAACGACGTCTTTGGTCCATGTTCGGCGCGTAAATTTAAAATTCCCCCAATTACTCTTTTAACAATGAGTTGCAACTGAGACCCTACTTATTTTTCATCTTATTTTTCATATGTTAAACCTATAAACGAAACAAAAGAAAATAATAATAATAAAAGAGTGAAAATAATAAACATAAAAAAAGAGTGCTCTGCTATATGCTTTTTTTAACATGTTTTTTTAAAGTAAAATTATTTATATTGATGCAGTAAATATTTACAAAAACATACAATATTATTAAGAATACGTATAAAACTAAATATAAATTATTACTTCTATATACAATTATAAGATATAATTTTAAACTTTTGAAAATTAATTACTCGATTGATCGATTCACCTAAAGACCTAACTGTTGAATAAGTGGCCTAGCGTCAATTCCAGGTCAATTACGGGCCATGTTTGAAAACAGAAGAGAAAAGTAAAGAAAACATAAAATTGATGGAATAAAATTTCGTAGGAATGGAATGAGTTGAAGAATGGAATGATTATGGGAATGGAATGAAACATGTTTTGTCATTGATGCATTTGGTATGCAGAAGGAATAAGACTGGAATGGGATGACATTATCTTTTTTTTATTATAAAAATTAATAAAAGCTTTTTTTAAAAATAATATAATTTTAATAAATTATATATAAATGCTTTTTTAATAATATATAAAAATAAAATAATATATTGTTCAATAATATAAAAATTAATATATTTTTAATAATATATAAAATAAAATAATATATTTTTAAATTATATATAGAAAGTAATATATTCTTAAAAGTAATATATTTTTAATATATAAAAAATAATATATGTTTAATAATATATAAAAATAAAATAATATATTTTTAAATTATATATAAATGCTTTTTTTAGTTTTATTTTTATATAAGTATTTAATATACTAATTAAAAAATAAATAAAAGTAAGTTTTTATTTTTTTTATTTGAATTTATTTTTAAAATAATTTTATTTAATATATTTTAATCATGATTTATAATATATAATATATATTTATATTTTATTATTATTTGTTAATTTAATTTTTTAAAAAATTAATTTCTACACACATGGGAATGAGAAAACCTTCCATTTACTATGGAATGGCTAATCCCATGGAGATGGGTTTTGCCATTCCATTGGAATAATCATTCCTTTCCAAAAAATATACCAATCATGGGATATGAATAAGGGAATGATCATTCCATTCTCATGTCATTCCTTCCTACCAATCATGCCATAATAAGTGGCCTAGCGTCAATTCCAGGTCAATTACGGGCCATGTTTGAAAACAGAGGAGAAAAGTCAAAGAAAACATAAAAGATGTTGATAAGATTTAACTTTATTCTATACAAAAAGCCAACCTCGTGTATGTTGTGGAAAACAGAGGTCAAAACAGGAACAATTCCCATCTGTTTGGTAAAATGCGTAATCCCCAAAAGGCTCTTTAGCTGCTGAAGGGAAACAATAATTGCCGCACCCGCCATAAATCCTATGAGCGTTGCTTTTGAAAGAAAGTCAATAATAAATCCGAGCCTGGAAAAAAAGAATACAGCAAGTACTTCAGTATAATTAATATGATGTTGCCACTGATTAGAATTATTTAATTGAGCCTCAGAAAAACGAAAAACAAAAGAATATAACCTTAGGAAGCCCAAAGAAGATTGAAAAAGCCCTGCAAAGAAAGTTGAAGTGAAAGCCAGCTGAAGAAACAAAATGGGGTCATTAGTTGGTGAAACTTGTTGTCTCAACATTGATCCCATTATCAAGGACGCAATCGAAACTGGGCCCACTGCAAGATCCCTTGAGCTCCCAAGCACAGCATATATTAGTGGAGGCACAAAACTTGAATCTGATAATTTTTCAAACGAATCATAATAAAAAAGTGCATTCATAAAAAAAAGGGACAGAGAGAGAGAGAGTTACATAGACCAAGAATTGGTGGCAAATTAGCGAGCTTTGCGTAACTAATGCCCTGAGGTATTGCCAGGCTGGCAATAGTTAGACCAGCGACAACATCGGATTTGAGGAGGCTGAGGTTGTACTTAGGGCCCCACTCGAGTATCGGGAATACGTAATGAGAGGCGAGGAGCAATTTTACTTTCCAAGATTGCCCCTTAAACTGCCGGAGGGGATCGTCTGGGAAAAACGTCTCCTTCAGCCGCGTTTTAAGCTTCCGGACGGTGCTCCGGCGTGGCGGCGCCGCCACCGAGTGGCGACCGGTGCTTGCTTCCATCTCCATTATCTAGTTGGCTTGGCTGCCGCTGAATGTTTTTTGTGACAGAGTGTGTGGGTTAAATTGGTTTGTGTAATTATTGTTTTCTCGAGGTTGTCAATTTCGAGTTTCAATATCCGAACGGACTGCTTGTATATTCAATTTATTGTTTTTGCCCCCACAGCGCTTTATTGCTCTTACGTACTAACATGTGTTTTATTAAACGGTGTTGTGCGTGTGTGTGTGAGAGAGAGAGAGAGTGGTGTTTGATGTCGGCTACAATTTGCACGATAAAGGATTTTTCGTGCGTGTTTTCTGAAAACAAAGATGGAGGATTCATCATGTGTGTATTTATTTATTCATTGGATAAAAGAAGTTCAACATTTATTTATTAATGGTAAAATTTCTCTTAATATCATAATCTTTTTCGAAATTACAATTTAATCACGACATTTTCATTTTTGCACATTATATTACAATCTTCAATTTATTGCAAATTGATGCACCGATTTGCACATCCCTTGCAAATTATATCACAATCTTCAGTTTGTTGTTCGACCACATCATTTTTTCTATGACTATTTCAGACTGTTTGCAACAAACTAAAGATTGTGATATAATTTGCAAAAGGAAAAAGATCATGATTAAATTGCAACTTCGATAAAGGTCGTGATATTAGGGGCAAATTTGCCTTTATTAATTAAGGATATTTTAGACATTTTAACATTTTAATAATCATTTTATGCAACTAACAAATCATCTTCACCCAATTATTTCGCGTCACGTGGTGAAAACACCTCACACATCCTACCCTCTTTCTCTCACATACTGACACACACACACACACACGAACCAGTCAACACACACACGCTACACAAAGCACACTGCACACACACACACACACACATACAGCCGACGGGTCAATCACCAGCCGCCCGATTTTTCAACCGACGGCATAAGCGTCACCGCACCTCCGCCAGGCCATCGCGCCGCCATACGCATTGGAGGTCCAATCTGCTGCCGCCATCAACCTCAGCCACGAATCTCGGACTTCCATTTACCGGTCTCCATACGTCATCGGAATCCGCATGAGCCGTCGAGGAGCCTGCAGTCACGCGCACCCTTCACCGCAGTTAGTCCATCGTCCGGAGCTCTGTCGGCGTCGTTCTCTACCCATCTGATCAATCGGCGGACAATTTCACCACTCCCGCTGGAAGTTGGTGCCAGAGCTCATGCCGTGGCGGGAGAATCTTTCGGGAGGAACGACAAAGGCCTCTGAACACTGTTGTGGCGCTGTGGAACTCAGCCACCAAACTACACCATCAAGCCGCCGGCCGCTGTGGAACTCAGCCACCATCCGCCGCCGCCAATGGCATTGCCCACCGCGGCAATCATCTGAGCCGACATTTGTGCGTGCGGCCGAGTGAGCTGTCGGGAGAAAACAATATGGGGGGTTGGGGGTTTTTAGGAGAATTTGACAGTCTCAAAATAACTAATTGCAAATTCAAGAATTTTTATTATATTTCAATTTTGTCCTTGGGCCAAATCTGTAATTTCTGAAAAATTATAAGAAAATAGTATTTTATGTATATAAAATAGTATTTTTTATACGTATAAATATTATATATTTATTATGTATTTTTCAACAAAAAATAAATATAAAATCTTAAAATACTAAGTACATTTTTATAATATAAATACTAAACTAGTTCAATCATCTAGGTAATTCAAGTAACTAACCGAATGACCCAATTAGTAGTTCAATTAACCACAGTACACAATGCACAAATAATAATAAACATTATGCACATTACTGTCTGTCAACATGCACAATAGTATTTGACCGCATGCACAATAACGCGTTTGAGCATGCATATTAGTGGCAAAAAATGAACAATCGTTGTTATGCTATATCATATTTTTTGCATATATTAAAATATTAGTTATTTTGGTTCGATTTTTACTTTATTTACAACAAAAAAAAAAGAATTAACATAACTGACCAAATTATATAAAAAATATTATTGTTCAGACCCACTAGATTCACTTTTTTTGTTCCCAGTATTTTTTGGAATAAGCTTCTATCGCATTCCTCAGAACTTGCCCTAATGTCATTTTCTACAATTGGAATTACTGTTGCTTCTTTCTCATTCCACCAATATGTCACGATCACCTAATGCATCATCAAAATCACCAACTACCAGAACGGCCAGTTCAGAGCTAGTTGACAAGTTGTACGTCCGAGCATCACTACCCCTCCAACCAATCAAACGCACCCTAACTTCTGTTTGGTTGTGTTGTTGAAGTTTTTCTTTTGCCATTCTGAATGTTTTCACAAGCTCGTTATGAACGTCCAACATATGTTTCAATCCATTAACAATATCTGGATGGAGCCTGTTTTCATCATTGGAACGCCTGAAAATAAAAAAATATATATATAAAACAAAAAAAAAAAACAAGTCAAACCAAAGTTTAGCTAACTAAGTCGACAATTTAAATAATTGAAACTTATAGCTTAGACTACCTGACAGAGTTTAATCTGTTAGAAACTTCATTGTTTGTGTCATAGATATACATTTGTGCAAATTTAGGTGCCTGCCCAACAACACTCCAAAATAATTAGGAAGAACAACCTAGAACGATCGGTAACAACTCCCTTAAAAAAAAGGCTAAGGCATGCAAAGGAATCGGCTCCTAGGATAAGAGAAGGAAGCTCTCCGAGGCGAGAGAATTTTTCCCGGTCAAAATATGTCGTTGTAATTAGACTTAGATTGTTTATGAGTATTTTTTTTTTTTTTCGCAACGACAACAAAATATTATAACTGATCAAACAATTTGTACACAATCGATCACCCAACTGGGTGAAAATCATCCTACTCTACATCACAAAATGAGAACAGAAACAACAACCGTGGGATATCACATATGATCCCCCTGCACAGCCAACAAGGCTAACCTGAAGCTAGAAACCAATAAAGTACCTCTCAACATAAAAGAACAACAAACAAAAGAATCAGATAACAGACAAATATCCAAAATAATGTCCCTGAAGCTGCTACGTTCTTGGCTCTTTTCCATTAACTGCTGGAGTGCATTGGGGTTCTGTATTGACAGGAGAAATTCTTGAGATTATTGATCAAAGGTAGCTCCAATCCCCACCTGATGTCTTTTAGTTCAGCCTCCAAAGAGCACTCTGATTTGGGTTCAGTGTGAGTCCAAGTTTGTAGCAACTTCCCATCATACAATGCCACACATCCCATGCCAATCATCCCTTCTGCATTCCTATGAGCACTGACAGCTAATTCGAGCTTCCCTACCCTTGCAGATACCCTATCCACCATGTTTAAAGAAGTGATAATCGAATCCCTTCTCTCACCACCCTCCTGATACTTAATGGGTTCAGTTCAACCCAACTGTCAAAAGCTTTAGTACAGATCTGTTTTTCAGGGATCCAGACTTTCTCAAATGTCCATTTGTTTCTAGATTTCCAGATTTCCCATAGCACACAAGCAGAAAAACTCAACCTATCTGTCATTGAGGCTCCTTTACCACTCCCACAGACTTCAAACCACCACTCCTTGAATTAGCATTCTGCTCCTGAAAATGCTGCCATGAGATACCACTGATTTTCCAGACCTTTGCAGCTCTCGCACAGTTAATAAGAGCATGACTCACATCTTCTTCTACCAATCCACAACAATCACAAATGTCATCTACTTGCATCCCCTTCTCCTTAAGTCGTGTCTTCACACCAAGATACTCAAATGAACATCTCCACAGGAAATTTTTGATTTTATTTTTGATTGGTAGTTTCCACATACATTTCCATAAGGCCTTCTCTTTGTCCAGCAGACAGCTTGACCTTGCAAACTACAACTTGTTATCTTATTTTGTAAACCTCTGCATGTTTTGTATGCTTCCTTGACTGAAAAAATCCAATTCTTGCTTCCATGCCATATGAGTTTATCTTTAGATCATGGACTCTTGAGGGGTATGTTTAATATCAGCCCTGCATCAAATGCGTTAAATGTTTGCAAAATTTTCTCTCTGTACCACCCTCTATGCCTCTCAAGAAACAAGTCACTCACCCTCTGAACCCTACCCCTATCACTCTGAAATTCACATTTGGGTTTAAAATCTATACTATTTGGTAGCCAAGGGGATTCCCAGATATTTATGGATTGACCATCTCCCACTTCATACTTAGCACTCAGAAAGAACTATTTCCTGACACCCATCCAACTTTTCCATAACCAGGAATTAGAACTCCTAGATTCTACCTCACTAAGCTATTTACCCCAATAATACTTCCCCCTCAACACTATATACTACAAGAAATCTGCCAAACAGTGACGAAAATTCATGTGACAAAAAAAAAAATCGTCACCGTATGTTGCCTTATGGTGACGAATTTAATAAATCGTCACTACACCATTGCACGGCGACGACTCCTACATTCGTCATCTTAGAATTCTTTTTTCGTCACATAATGGAATTTTTCATGACAATGCACGTTAATTCGTCACCTATACATCTAAATTCGTCACATGTATATAAAATGTGACGAAATTAAATGTGACAAACAAACTGTCGTCACTGTTGTTGTTATTTAAAATGACGCTTGCGACTAATTCGTCATTATATAATTATTTATTGTGACGATACATTATAATACATCTAAATTCGTCACATTAATACGTATTGTGACGAAATTCACTACGACGAAAACAAATTCGTTGTTTTTCTTCGTATTTGAAATGACGCTTACAACAAATTCGTCATTATAGAATTTTATTTTGTGACAATAAACTATGAAACAACTAAATTCGTCATATTAATACATATTATGACGAAAGTCACTGTGACTAATCAAAATCGTTGTGTTTTTATTGTATTTAAAATGACACATACGTATAATTCGTCATCATACAATTTTCTTTTGTGACGATATGTTATAATACATCTATATTCGTCACATTAATACATATCGTGACGAAATTCACGGTGACGATAAAAATCATTGTTTTTATTTGTATTTAAAATGACGCTCACGTATAATTCGTCATTATATAACTTTACTTTGTGACGAATTTGTGTCATAAATGGTTCAGTAACAATCACAAAATTTATATTCGTCATTAAAATATGCACTTTAATAACGTCTTTTACTTTTGTCACTAATATCTTATATTGTGCTACGACATCATTTGTCACAAACATCATTTGTCATTAAAATATGCCCTTTTACTCAAGAAATGAATGACACATATAAAAGAAAAGCAAGACCGAAGGATGCTTAAAAAAGCAACTTTCAGAAAGTCAATTACAACACACAGATCAATAACATGATTGCATTCTTGATAACCGTCTTGTAGACATTTCAAAGTTGTTTGGTGCAAAGACTCCTGACAGAATTTAGTCCGAGAAATTATATATCTCTTATGCCATTCGAAAGAAACATGCCAACTATTCATTTAAATAAAGAAAATTCTTAGCATCCACATCCCTTAACATTCATTCAATCTCAATTTACACTCTCTTTCATCCACATCATCTTTCCACTAGACATCTCTCCATTTAAACACACACCCACATTCATTCATTCATTTAAATACAAACATATGGGACCTATACCCACTTATTCAATACTATTTTTATATTCTATTCTTAATAAAATAAATATAATTTTTTAATTAGAATACTTAATGTTAAATGATGAAAATACACTAAATATTATTAGATTATAAAAAACATAAATTAAAATTAAAAATGAAAAATAGTAGAACAGAAAAAACAAAAAAAATGGTACAAGAAAATTATAAAACTGAAGTGTGAGGTGTATTTTATAGGCATAAAAAAATGGGAGATATAAAATGTAAACTAGTGATACATGTTAACAAGTGTAATGTAGATAAAATTTGAATTTATATATAAAATTGAATTAAATATATAAAAAATAACCAAAATAATTAACTAAAAACAAAAAAACAAAGAAAAAAAAATAAAAAGCAACAATAAGTGGCGTTCAATGTATTAAACGGCAACATGGGCCCCCTAATTAATGGATGACTCGCATCCATGTTAAACGCGGGGTGGCTGTTTAAACGCTCACAAAACGGATGCAATGCGGATGCCTAAGTTAAATGAAAGTAGAAAAAGATCCACTAACAAATCTTTTCATCCTCTCTCCTTTTTATTACAGTGATAGTATCAATATACTTTTGCTCTTTCCATATCTCATACTAAAACATCTCACCCGAATCCACCACTTTATTTCCACTGCTACCATTAAATTTCTTCTCGACTCTATCTAAAAACTCAGTCCTGGCTCAGTACAGTGAATGATTACCTCCAATTGCTTCAAAAAGATGCCACTGCCATTCGGCTTTTAGCTTTTCAGGTATATTTTTGTCAGTTTTGGGGAGAAAAACCTCAGAGGGTAGAGAGAATGTTTTCGAGTAGGGACGTGTAACCTTCCATGCTTTCTGAGGCCTTTAAATTTTTAGGTGTACTTTTTCACATAGAAGCGATATTAATGGATAAGAAGGAGAATTTTCCATTCGAGACGGCTCAAAATATGATATGACTGAGAAAACTCATGTCGGCCTTCGGGGAAATATAGCTGTTCACCTTGTCACTGACCTAAGATTGTCAATAATATACTGAGCATATCAGGACGACCATATCCTCCAGTAACTTTGTAATATCCTGCAAAAGTAAATAACTATCAAAATTTGTTCACAGGCACAAAGTCGTCAGTGACAAAAACTTAATTCATGATTATTAATGGTTGAGGCTAAGGCAAATAACAAGTAGCTAAAAAATAATTTTTAGGATAATACTATTACAACAAAACACAAGGTGATCAAAACAATATTTTGCTTGTTATATTGTAACTCAATGCTCTCATAATGTAAAGTTGAATAAGTCCTAGTCCAACGTTCATCAATATTCATGATATTGAAATTGTCATTTGAAATAACCGCTCCATGATAAGCTTGATAAGTAAAATTAGCCACTAATTTATATAGACAAAATATTTGAATTATGTCCAGTACTATCTTTAGTGCAACTTGAGCTGAAACTAAATACATAATATGTATATGTAAGGAAATTTGAGTGTCTTACTCATTGATAAAATCCAGATGCTCCTCCAAAATACACCAGGATTGTCTGGTTAACTCTCTCATATATGTGAGCCAGATGTAGATACGATATATGCCTAGCAAGTTAAAACAACACTTTGCCATGAAGAAAGAGTTCCACGAGATAAAAAGCAAAATGTCTAAAGACAAACAAAACTAATGTTGAACTACAGGCATAATGTCCAAAGAAAACGGTGAAACAAAAGACAAATAGAAAGCACCAAAATTACCATGTAGACAAAGGCTCAACACAGGACCAATGTATACAAACAGAACTAATGTTGAACTACATATCAATATAAACTACTACCAATAAAATAATGATACAGGCACATAGTTTATAAGAAAATAATGATAACAATGAAGTGCAGTTGGAAACTTGTATAACACTAGGAGCAACAGAACGAAACATTGTGATACTAATATTGAGCTTAGATTGCTCTTTTCGGACTATGAATCAATGAATATTTTCTGAAAAATAAAAAAAAGTCAATCAAAAGCTCAGCAACTAGTTCAAAATATACGGCACTCACACCGTAACAGGGCAAAAAAAATTACAACATATACATGCTCCTTCTTCTCTAAAACTTTAACATGCTCATGACTAAAACTCAAGGTTGAGCTTAACACTTCCAAAAGCTCACGAAACAGTACATAACCACAAAGAATAGCAGCCTCCAATCTCATAAACATGCTAAGCACAAAACTCATGCAATTCTTGCTTCACACTTCTCTAAACTTATCCAAACTTAACGGCATATGAATAAGTCTAGAAACTGGTCATTAACAATTCAAAAACACTTAGTCTCAGCCACAAACCATTTAAATAGAGGCTTGATTTAGCAATTAGAAACAAGGCTCAAAGTAGTAAAACAACCAAGCCATTACTATGCTATATTTTCCTTTTCAACAACAATAAAAATAAGCATGCCTTTTCAATACTTTTATTGAACATTTATCTCTGAAATTACACATCAAAACCGTAGCATACATAACATAAAATATGCTCAGCAAGTTCTATACACACAAGACACAAACAATACAATCCTTGCTTCTTTTCTCGGCCAAAACAGGGATATAAAACTGAAACCAAAGCATATAAATGTCACGAAATCTCTGCCAAAACAGGGATAAACTCGGCTCAGTCGAAGGTACCTGTTACGGGACTTAAAATGGAAAAGAAGATGGCTCGATTTCTGGTTAAAGGGCTCTTGAAAGACACTCGGCCTGCTGCAGCCTGCTACCGGCTCCCGAACAAATCTCGGTACTAGAAATTTCACGTTTTTGGATTGCCGGAGGCTTGGTTCAGCCGGGCGTGCTCAAATTTACTCAGTTGTTGGTAAAAGCTTTGCGTTGGGTGCTCGGGAAAATGTTTCAGTCGCAGACTGCCTACTCTCGGCTTCGCACAGGGCCAGCTCTTTGCCGCAAACAGAGGCCTTCTCTCGGCATCTGGGGTGCTCGCCTCGCCGAAAATCTGTTGGCCCACGGTCGGGGTTCGTCGTCACGCCTGGAGGTCGAAGCTCAGAGGTCACGGCTCGACGTCGGAGAGTGTGAATTCGAAACAAACAATCTTTGAATGTGAATTTGTGAGACTGGGAGTGCAAATTCAAAGGAGAATTCGAAGGTAAAGGTGCGAATTTTGTGTGTTTTTACTGTGCGAAATTGAAGTGTTTGTACTGTACGAATTTGCAAGAGTTTGGGGCATTGAAGTGTTTGTACTATGCGAAGAGTTTGGGACTTGGATCAATTGAGAGGGAGTTTCAATTAAGAATTAGAGATATTCTATAATTTCAATTAATAGTTAAGACTGTTGTCAAATTGAATTGAACCGAGCCAAAAGTTTTTGAGCTCGAGTTCGTCCATATTTTATAACATGTTCGTGTTTGTTCGTTTAACAAATCGAACAAATATTTTTATTCGGTTCGTTTGTTAGGTTCGACAAGTTCATGTTGGAATTATTGACATGCTCGTCTTCGTGTCAGTTGATTTTTATTCGTGAATGTTCGTTTAATTCGCGAACTTGTTCATGTTCATTCCATAATTAAACAAGTATAATTTAATGTTAGAGTTCAGATCGATTACTAAACGAACGAGTTGTCATCGAACACGAACGAGCTTTGTTCGGGAAAAATGGCCGAAGTGTTGTGAAAGTGAACATCCTTATTTAGATTAAATTTTAATATAAATTAATATATATATATATATATAAGCACTTACCATAATTCGACTAAAACCGAAAAAACCGACCAAACCAAAAATTTTGGTTAGGTTTTTATCCGACTCGGTCGGTTTTCGGTTTTAGTCGGATTATGCTTCGGTTATTTCGATCGGGGTCGGTTTTCGGACAACAATGTCCAAAATAACCGAATTGACCAAATAATATATGTATATGTATATATTATATTATATATATAATTTAATATATTGTATATGGATATATTATATTACAATATATATTATAATATAACATATATATATATGTTATATTATATATATATATATATATATATATATATTTTAAAATGTACAGTTTGGTCGGTTTAACCAACCGACCAAGAAGTTCGGTCGGTTAATGTTCGGTTTAAAATTGATAATTCAGTCAGTTTCGGTTATTGGCATAGTTTGGTTCGATTATTTCGATTTTCCTAATTTGGTTCGGCTGGTTGACCGGACCGACCGATGAACAGCCCTAGTTGAATCCGTCAAAATCAGTCAAATATGCTAACCAGACCGGTTTTGAATTTGACTAATTTTTTTAAAATAAACGAATATATTTAATAGTATTTTTAATATAAATAAAAATAGATATTTATCTATAATGAATATATATTGAAGTTATTATAAACTAGTTATATTAAATTTTGAATGACTTAAAATTACTTAGTGTGCCATTAAGAACCCAAAATTATACCAAGTAATTACCTAATTTGTATCTCCCCAAACCAACCCCCCCGTTCACAAACCCAAAAACAATCATCTGCCCCGTTCATATTCATCAATCCATCCTAAATAAATAAACACAAACCTAAAAATCAGCATGTTAATCGCCATTAGATCTGAAATCTCGACTCCTTTTTTATCCGAAGCCTTCAAATTGGTGTGAATTTGCCGATTGATGAACAAATTTCACGAGGTAATCCAAATTGAATCCTCTGCCTCGATGACATCCTCCACCTGCTGCTCGAAATCGGAGGCGAGGACGCGGATGGAGACGGCGACCGTGCATGATACAGAGGTCGACGACGCGGATGAGGGTGAGATTGGGGGTGGTGCGGGAAGACAGTCGGGTCTGTATGGTGGCGGAGAAGGTGTTGTGGCCAAGTGACAGCCATATCTTGATGGAGGTCATGTCGTCGGTGCTGAGGCTCGCCATGCCCACGGTGATCCGGCACCAGAGGTTCGGGGCCTTCTATTCTCATATGAATCATCCATATTTTTTGGGTTTTTGTTGTTAAATTTAGCTTAATTAATTTTTCGGTTTTTTGTTGTAATATTTAACTTGATTAATTTTTCAGTTTTTTGTTCTAAAATTTAGCTTAATTAATGGTAATATGGTTATCTTTGCCCAATCTTATTCACTAAAATATTTGCTGAGAAAATTTTTGATTTGGCGCTCACTACCTTGTTTCATTTTTGGTACTCTTATCTAATTAAGGTAGATAAAGACTGAATTCAATGTGATCGTATCTTCTGCTAAAATCTCTCCTCTCCTTCTCACTCATATAAGTCCAATATTAGGCTAACAATCAACAAAGTTATAACATGCCTTCTCTTTTACACCAGTCTGTTCTAGAGGAACTCGAGGTCTGCATACTCTAGTTTTATCTTGTTGGGAGGCATTGACGCCGGGGAAGAGAAGGTTGTTCTCTGATGATCTAAGTTAAGCATTGAGACCTCATGGACATAGAGCCTTCCTCTATGATTTGAAACTTGACTGGCTATCAAGAGTTAGAATTATGTTTTACAGAATTTGTATCCAATAGTATTGTGCCTTAAATGTAAGGTTGAATAATTAATTTATGTTATTCATTCTTTCTGATGGATTTGTTTTTGCCTCAGACTTTCATGTATATATATATATATATTTTTTTTTTTGCCTCAGTACAGATTGTTTCAAATGGCTCCTGTATTGGTTCGAAATTCAAAAGCAAGAATCATACCAAATAATTCTCGCCAGAGTCTCATAGAACACATGACAAAGACAGGAGGTTTAGCAAGGAGTAAAACCCGACAATCCGAGAAAACTAATATGGCATCAGACAAAGTGAACAATGGATTGCCAATAACTGATGGTTCGTCTATAGGAAGCAAAACTGTGAATCTGACGTTCGAGGGAAACATGCCAACTATTCAGCCTCCTCAAACTCAGCAAAAGGAGAGTACTCTTATGCCAGAAGTTCAGACTCTTCAAACTCATCAAACTCAGTACAAGGAGAGCACTCTTATGCCAGAAGTTCGGACTCTTCAAACTCAGCAAAAAAGAGGACTCTGCAAAATCAAAGTCAGCAAAATGGAAGCACTTCTCATCCTCCATCACATGAGGGAAGTCAACATCCACAATCACCTCCGACAAATATCATTGGTACTAAACCGTTGCGATTTTACAGTTGCAAAACATGCTAAACATGTTGTAGTTGCCTTATGTGATAATTTGTTGATGAAAATCAGATTACTTGGCTTCGGGGTAATGTGTGCTTATTCTGATGTGATGCTTGATAAATACTTCTACGTGTTTGATGTTTTGTCCATGTAAACAACTAAGAGTTGCTTGTTTGAGATATTAGTACTTGTGTTTCTCGACTTCTGGATTTTTTTTTATCCTACTATGCATACTTTAGGTAAGTTGGTATATTAATTGTTTTGGTGGCGGCAGTAAATTATATATCTATCTTATACTGGAGGTTGCCAGTGGGAACAAATTATTCTCTGTGTGTTTCTCTATCATGGCATTCGCATAGTGTTTATAGCAAAACATTCTCTTTTCTGCGTATCTCCGTTTCTAATGTGGTTTGTCAAATTATATTCTAAAAGTTTGTTCTGTATATTCATTGAATTTACTTGGTGGTTTCTGTTTAGAAGTTATGAACTGAGAATGTAGAAGTTACCTGGTCAAGATTTACCTGGTGGTTTAGAAGTTTATCTCTGTTTCTAATGTGGGTTGTCTTATTATAGTCTGGAAACTTCATCTGCAGAATTCATCAGTTTCACCTTTGTTATTTGCTAAATGTTGATAAATGTGTTATTTAATCTAGTTTGAAACTCCAGTGATTTGTATAATATCAAAAACATGTCTGCTTTGCTCATTTGAGTCAAAATACATGTGCCTTTGCCTTTCAGATTGTTTGATAAAATACAGTCTTATGAGTATGAAGCTTTGACTAATTAAAATAACCGAGTGGTGAACATGCAGCTTCCAATACCACCATTAAGAAAAGGCGTGGACAAACCATGGGCAAAGGTATTGAGCTTAAAGACACAAGAAAAGCTGCGTGACAAAGACTATGGAGTGATTGAGCTTAAAGATCAAGTTAGTGATTTGAAAGACCAACAAAATCAACAAGGTGCAAAAGTCGACAAACTTATGGCTTTCATGGTTGCCACTGAGAACAATATTTGAGATTGTTAGGCTTTTCTTTTATTATTATTATTATTTTTTATTTGGAACATTTTGAGATAGTTCGTTTATTTAAGTTTTTAATTAGCAAAACTACTATTATTGTCGTTTTTTAATTTATCATCTACAACATATTACCTTTATATATTAATTATAAAGATTTTGCCACTGTATTTTCTTTTTAGTGACTTGTTTAGAGTGACGATAGATTTTGTCAATGTATTATATATTTCATGACAAATAAATTTATCACTAAATATCTTCAATTAATGACAATTATTATACTTGTAATAGTGACAAATTTTAAATTGTCATTGAAAATACACTTTTTTTGACAACATGTAGTCGTGATGTATTTGTTTGGATTTGTCACCATATGAAATGTTAAAATCACAATAAATTTTGTCACTAAATATTTACCTTTTCATGACAACTTATGTTGTCATTATATCTCAAACTTTTGATGACAATTCTTTTTTTCGTAAACATAGAGATAATAATTTTATGACAAAAGAATTCGTCGCTTTTGTATGTTTTTCGAGACGATGGATATTTCGTCACTACTTCTATTTTTTTGTGACACTTTTGGTATCGTCATATTTAAAATTTCCTTTTGTGACGACCAATATTTTGTAATTATAAAATAACTCTTTCATGACAAATTCTATAAAATATGACGATTATTTTAACGAAAACGCCACAAATACATTCGTCATTGAAATTTTATAAATTCGATAAAGAAATAAAATTCGTCACAAAACAATAATATTTAGATGACAAAAGTAAGTTTTCGTCATTTAAAACTTGTCTTTTTATGACGAAATAATAATTTACATGACAAAGTTTTTATAACAAACGTGACAAAATTATTGTCACAAAAAGTGACCAACTAACATGACGAAACTTATAAACGTCATTAAAAGTGAAACATTTGGTGACAAATTCGAAATTTGTCACCTATACCTAATATGACGCGGCTACGGTGACGATTGCTGTGACGATAAATATTCGTCATCGATATACTGTTGTGACGAAAAACAAGGTTTACATGACGAAATTTTTCGTCATGTTTTGCAAAATTTCTTGTAGTATATGCTAACCAGCAAATTGGGATTTGTTTGAATTCTCCACAATTGTTTGACCAATACAGCATCATTAAAACAATTAAAATCCCTAAACCCCAACCCACCCTTGTCCTTAGGTTTAGCAAAACCCTCCCACTTTGCCCAATGGATTTTTCTCCCCCCATTATCTTTTTTCCCCCACCAAAAACTAGCAATATCTTGACACATCCTATTGAGAACAGTTTCAGGCACTTTAAAGCAAGACATCACATATGCTGGAATTGCATTGAGAACTGACTTGATTAAAGTTTCTTTACCTGCTTCACTTAGAAAATTATTCTTCCAACTCTTAATTTTTTTCCTCACTCTCCCAATCAGAAACTGAAATACTTCTCTTTTGGTTTTGCTAATCCCCAAGGGAAGACCTAAGTATCTAGAGGAAGAGACTGGGGTAATCCCATTAAGAGTGAAGCAAATATCAGACTGAACATTAAAAGGAGTTTTTTTAGAAAAGAAAATGGACGATTTGCCTAAGTTGACCAACTGACCAGAATCATAACCATATGACTGAAGAATACTCAGGATTTTGTCAGCATAAAACCTATCTGCTCTGCAAAAAAGAATTGAGTCATCAGCAAAGAGGAGGTGAGAGATGACAGGAGCTTTAGGTCCAAGTTTGAACACTTTGAATTCCCCCACCAGACAAGCCTGTTTAACCAAGTTGGAAAATGCCTCAGAAATGAGCATAAAGAGGTAAGGAGAAAGAGGATGTCCTTGCCTTAATCCCTTAGAAGGTTTCAAGAACCTTGGGGTTGCCCATAAATATTGAAAGAAAAGGAGGTGGAGCACACACAAGCCAAAATCCAATCAATGAACTTATTACAGAACCCCATTTTCCTAAGAAGTCTAGCAAGAAAAGGACATTCTACCCTGTCATAAGCCTTTGCCATATCAAGCTTAACTGCCATGTAACACATTTTGCTTTTTCTTTTACTTTTTAAAAAATGGATGCATTCATTAGCAATGATAATGTTATCTACAATCTGCCTACCAGGGACAAATGTTGCATGATTATGAGAAGTGCACCCATGCAGAACAAATTTCAGTCTATCAGCAAGAATTTTGACAATTAGTTTATGTTCGTAAAATAGACTTCACGCGGGCTCCTTTAACTCGGACGGCCTCCGTACCTACAAGAACCCAATGCCGGTAGGGGTCCCGGCGTCGGGCCTCCGACGCTCAAGTCAATATCACTCCAAAACTCCAAATCCTAAAAGTATAATTATGAATGTAGAGAGAGTGAGAGAATGAGATACCTTGGCCCCCTTTTATAGGAGGTGTTGTAATAATTTTTACCGGAGTAGAATCGAAAGATTCGATCACCGGGTCGTATCTCAAGGAAGGTCAGCCGGATTATTTGTACGGATATTCAATCACACAAAAAGCAAATGAAATCTTAAACACTCTAATTCAATGGTTTTGGTTTTCAATTATCATCTACTAATTCTCAAACAGTGCGAATAAACAATTAACAAAACTTAAAACGAATTTCTTCCACGTACGAAGGCTAGGGAATCGGGGATGATTATACTCTAAACAAATTCGAACACCAAGCGAAAATCGTTCGGCTAAATGATTCGATCAACCTACACATCTAGAGATTATTCCTCAATAACTTCTCGTAACAAGAGAAAAAATATGGACGGCAAATTAAACCAATCAATTAACACGTATGCAATACAATTACGAACAAGCCTACTCTAGTCGAGCCTAAATCGACCGACTTTTCCCCTTTCGGTTCTACAAGTCGATTAATTAGATCAGAATGGTGATCAAGCATCCAACCCTAGATTTAAATCAACTCGAAAAGATTGAACAAATTTCACAGGTAAGATAAGCATGCGAGTAGAGTATCACCCCCTATCCCTAGCTTAAGAATTTAGCCACTCATGCCAAGATGAACACAAGACATAGTATAAAGTAAATACTCCAAACTCATAATCAAAGTGAGAAGAAAACTTACGATAAATAAAAGTCAAGTGTTGGATCTCAAGCAGAATCCAAATTCACGATCAAAATCTTTGGGTGTCACTCCCAAAGATCTCAAATTAAGCAAAGATAAAAGAGAACAATGTTTTCGTCTCCAAAAACGAGAGAAAATGAAAAGTGCCGAATAATCCCTGAAAACCCTTGCTCGATCCTATTTTGTAGCGATCAGATTAAACTTTCAAAAGACGTTCAAAATATCAGGCGCCGCGGCGCGAGGCGGGCCTTCACCGCGGCGCGAGACGGGGGTTCACCGCGGCGCGAGGCAGAAGCACGGCGCGGCAGACACACTCACCGCGGCGCGAAGTGGGTGTGATGAAGATCGCGTGTCCAGATTGCCGATAAGCCACAAACCAGTGCCTTGAATCGCCGATAGGTGTCTCGAGGTTTGCACAACCGCACCCCTTGAAACGATAAAATTGCAAAAGAAATCAAGAAGAAATCTAAGGCAAAGTGTTTGAACAAAAGTTCGGTTTTTCTATTAATTTCTGAATTATTATTTTGAATGACAATGGGGCATATTTATAGATGCCAAACTAAGTCTATTCCTAATCTAAAAAGAACTCCTAATGCTTGGAAATAAATAAAGTCCTAAGGAAGTAAATCACTAATTAAAGCAATAAAATATTAAAGTCCTAAACAATCTAGAAATCATAATGGAATAAGGAAACCAAATAACTAAGGGATCTTGGAAAGCCTTAACTTGCACTCCAAGTAGGGAAGAATAATCTAGAGAAGTTTCAACTCAAAAGACTCCTAGAAGCCTCGTTTTCTTGCTGGTCAAGTTGTCCCCGCGCGCTGCCCCTGGCAGGCCTGCGCCCGCGCGCGCGTGCTGCCCAGCGCCCGTGCTGGCGCTGCTGCCCTGCGCCCGCGCGCATGCTGTTGCCCTGCGCCCGCGCGCGTTGATG